AATTGGTCCTCACACTGAATGCATTCTCATTCAATAACCTTTTCTTACCAACAGGTGAGTGGAGTTGCCATGGGCACCAGAATGTGACCAAGCTATGCCAATATTTTTGTCGGCTGGGTAGAAGAACTCTTCTTCGCTTCCTACACTGGTTATGTCCCTGACCTCTACAAGCGATACATTGATGACTGCGTCGGTGCCGCCACATGCTCCAACGACCAGCTTGAGTGCTTTCTGCATCATTTCACTAACTTCCACCACTCTTCCATTTCTAGACATCAACTTCTCCATCATCTACCCCCGACTCTCCACTTCGGTTTATTAAAAACCCACGGATTCACACAGCTATCTCCTGTGTAGCTCATTTCACCCCAAACACACTAAAAACTCTCTCCCTTGTTCGCAGTTCCTTCGGCTACGACGATTATGCAGCGACAACATCAACTTCCAGAACCAAGCCCTCAAAATGTACTCCTTTTTCATCAACAGAGGATACCCCAGCAGTGTTTTTGACAGGGCCATTGCCCGAGCCACAAACACCCCTCTGACCATCAACTCAATCAGGAACTCCCGCCGTAACAATCGCATTCCTTTGGTGCTTCTCTACCACCCCAACACACTTCCTATCCCCAGGACTATTAACGACAGCCTGAATTGAGAGAGAGCGCCAGAGAGAGCGAGAGAGAGAGAAAAGAGAGAGAGCAACACAAAGGGGTACAAAACCAGGGAACTATTTACATGGAAATGGGGCGATCTCCCCAGACTGTACGCCTGTTTCACAGTGGGTCAGCTGCACTGGTCAGCCGCTTTCCTTATCCCTGCCCTGACCACTACCATTCCTGTCCTGTCCCTCACCGCGTACCCCAGCCGGGCGTATGCATAATGTAATGCACTACATTAATGTAGGGCTTTTAGGGCTGACGTGAGTTTGCGCCCTACACCCTGTAGTACCTCTGTGTACATATAGTACGAACATGTTGTGATATTTAGAAATATAAAAAAAGTCAATATAGTGTCCATAATATTTGCCATTTTAATTTTTAAAAGAAATGTTTATTTGTTAAAAGAAAACTTATGGCAATAACTGGATTTGAACACCCAATCTCAGTCTTATAAGTCAGTCACTTAAGCCATCACACCACAGACACAGCAACATACAGATGCAGCCATTCAAAACAAGCAGGCGATACCGCATTATTTTGCAGTGCGCTTGACGCAGCCTACCGCGAGTTACCGTAAATTCTCTCATAGTACCTCATAATACCACGTGGTACCGCAAGCAAAATTATAGTATCCGGAATTTCTGCAAGGTGGAGCTAATAAAGCTCGACCCTCATGTTTGAGCTGTTGCCATCAAAGTCTTTAACGTAAATATAACTAATCGTATTAATAATGAATGACCTTGGACAAGCTATAAACTCAAAGTATTGCCCTGGTCCACATTCTTTTTTTCATTGACTGTCTTTGTAAAAGTAACACCACAGCATTTTGCAATCACGCATTTGTTTCCACTCATGCAAAGTACAGTAATTTTTGAGAA